CAGAAGATGTGGAGTATGCTTTTTTACTTTAATCCACATGCTTCCTAAAGCATCTGGGTTTCCTCAACTTTAAATAGAAATTCCACATATGCCTGAAATAACCTACAAGCACCTTGATGCTTTGCTAACACAGAATACTTCTTATTATTTAAAAATTGACTGATTCTACAGTGTATAACACAGTGAAAAAAAGCCTATTCATGCTGAAGGTGTTTTTATGGGAAAAAATTCAGAGAATTCTGATAGCTCTGAAAGAGACAGAGAAACAGAAAAATAATGACCCCAGGAAGGGATATTATATTTTTTAAATAAGTTGGCATATCTTAGAGATATCAGCTGTGGTCTTTTTCCTTCAAAGTATGTGGTCACTTGGGGAATGAGGAGGGAAGGTATGTGTGTGGTGGGTGGGTTTAATCAGCTTGATAAAGCTCACTACTTTAGTTAAGTTGGGCTGAGTCCAGCTGAGATTAGGAAGGAACAGAAGGGTTTGTCTGTAGAACAATTAGTGGGTTGTGAGGAATATTCAGTTCTGGTTGTTAGTTTTGGTAAATCTTGCAAAATAATGAAATAACAATGACAAAATAAACACAACAAAACCTTAAAAGACCCATGTCTGTGTTTTTACTAGATTTTAGTGGAAGCAACATCAAATATTCAGGACTCACTTTTCTGAATCGTGATGCAACGAAAACTTGCTCTCAAGTGTTGAATTTAGATTTCTTCCTGGCGTCCCTGGGCATCCTGGGAGCAGAAAAACATTCAGCCGCAGGGACTAGACCAGTTTCCTGAGTTTCCAGGCTTTTATGAGGTTTGGTTTTTAGTGAAAAAAGGTTATCTTAAAAATTCCAGAGATTTTTAGGCAAGCTGTTAACATGAGAACTGATGTTTAACTATTCTCCCTCAAATTCACCTTGAAACAATCAACAGAATATGTCAAAAAGGGAAAAGAAATCTTATCAAACAGTGAAGGGTGCATCAATATGCATCAATATGCTAGACACTTGGAGAATTTGGTTAGAGGCAATGTCTGTGGAACCAAATGCAGCCAGTATATGGTGGAATGACTGAACCAACTGTGAAAATGTTGAAATACTTTCATGTTGATTGGTAGATAGCCACTTCCAGGAGGCTCTTGAGTGCTCTCATGCTGTCCTCGCCATCCAGGTGATTCCCTCCTCTGGAAACCCTTCAGTCTCTCCACCATGCAACACATAACAGGATAATTCTTGGCGCAATAGGGAGGTCTCCAGAATCTGGCTTTAGTGGCCACTGCGATGGCCCAAGCTGTATTACCTGTTAAAAAATTTGAATGTGACTTGCCTGCTGAGATGGTGTATGAGGGCCGCATTGTTGTCATTTAGGGTTTATCTTCTCAAAACAACATCCCTTTCTTTGTGGGAACTGCTTCTTCTCTATACCAAACATGTGCTTCTGATGGGATGACATTGCCTTAGCTATAGTGGTTGGTTCAGGATGAGCAGATACCTCAGGCCAGGTCACTCAGGTCATTCATTTATTCATTATTTTTTAATGGGAGCTGCCACTCAGGTTACAAAGTAGAGGATCTTGGAACTGTCTTCAACAATGCCCCTGCCACTTGTGGGGGGTGGGGCTTGTCTAAGGGAAAAAAATGTACACAAGGGGAAGAGGAGATAGAGATCTTGTGGAAGTCCTCAGGATATTGAGTCCCCGGGTCTAGTTATTTATGAAGCTCCCAGTCTATCCCCATCCTTTCTGCTGTTTACTATCGACTTGTTGGAGTGTGATTTGGATTACTGCTACTTTCAACCAAAGAGTCTTGATTAAGACAAGATGTAAATGAGAGCTAATCCAGGCAGAGCCCTGTGAATACTCCAGCTGGAGGGGCCATGGCAGCAAGGACTTCCATGGAGAGGCAGTGTTGGTTCCCACCAGCAGTCAAAGGAGGCATAGAGTTAACTTAGTTTCTGGTGGAAGTGGTTACACTCACCTGAGACCTGACCAGGGGATCCTTTCTTCCCCATCTGTGCTGAGATGAAGTTCCCAGGTGTCACTCAAGTGTGACTTTTTGGATTCTATCTGATCAGGATGCTAGTTCTCTGAATTGACAATCCATTGTTGAGTTGAACTTTTTTCCTGTTTTGTTTTCTTTCATTTGCATGAAATTTCTTCTGTTAAAGTTCCTACCAGGAGTGTGCAGACCAGGTTCTCACAAGTCTCAACTTCAATCTTACCTGAAGGTGAGGCAATGTTAGGTGACATGGTCATGCGTATTATGTGCTAGACACTGCAATAGGCTTATGTTGCTTCATTTAATCCATGCAACAATTTTATGAGGTGGTACTGGTATTCCAACTATTTTATAGATAGAGAAACTGAGGTAAGAGACAGTCACAGAGCTAACAAGTGGTGGAGACATAATTTGAACCCAAGCAATCTGACTTTTAACTGTGTTGCTATGCTATGAATAAGGTGCCAGACAGTGTCCTGAGAGATCTCTAAGATTCTGGAGCTTAGCTATCACTGAAGCCTCCACTCTAATCTTTTCCATTCCCCATGATCCTCCTTAATCTGGTTTGAGCTGAATTTTTGGCCACTTTCAACCAAGAAGTCTTGACTATGGAGCAAGTAGAAGGAGACCCTGGAAGACCTCTGAATACTTAAGGTGAAATGAGCATTAGTTGTAAGGAGAAAAGGGGAGATTTCCTTCTGTAAGGTTACTAGACAGGACGACACTGCAGACCTGTGTGAGTTTTCTGCATGTCAGGAGGTGGCTACCAAAGACCCTGACAGTTCAGAACTGCTTGCTCTGAAATAACTTCCCTGTAAGAAAACAAGAACATTTGAGAAAGTATCTGATGACTATTCTCAAACTCAATTGGGAGCAGAGGCTGTGAACTACATCATTAAAAGGGGGAAAATCAAGATGAATACATACCTTATCTGGATGAAGTACTTTATTAAAAAATTTAACTTCATTTTTGACACAGTGAATGGCTGGCTAGGTAGTGTAGAAAACAACTAACGAGGAGACAAGAGCTTGAAAACATCTTCCAGAAGTCTAAGGAATAATTAAAAGGAAAATGATAAGAGACTGATGAAGAGATACGAGAAATAGATCTTGGAGGCCAAAGTATGCACAGTTTTCAGAATTTTTAAAAGAGAGACCAGTAAAGATGTAGCAAGGACAAAAATAAAGTAATAATAGAAGAAACTCCCTGGTTGAAAGAGATGGGAAATAAACAGAAAATAAAAATATAAAATAAGATGACAGAAACAAGAACAAATAGATATATTACTAGGGAAAAAATCAGATTGGTTTAAATTAAATTGTTAATAGGAGATCAAGCAAGGCAAAATAGCACAAAAGAATTAAAATAGATTTAAATTTCAAATGGATTTTAAATTTAAAAAGATTAAAAATAAATTGATGAGCAACAGTATATCAGGGAAATAAACCAAAAGAAACCAGGTAGCTGACACTGATAGCAGATAAAGTAGAAATTAAGGCAAAAAGCATTTTTTTTTTTTGCCTCAGAGGGTCTCGAAAGGTCATTCTATATTGATCAAAGAATTGATTCATAATGAAAATATGGGATTATGAATTTGTATGTTATGAATAACATAGAATCCACATAGATATTGTTAAAACTTAAAAATCTGAGGTAAAATCGACAACAAGACAATTGTGCTAGATTTTAACATAGAGCTATCAATTTATTATAGTTTATGTAGGCAATAATAAAAAATGAAACCAGAAAACATGAATAAGACCCGAGAGGTCTAGGGTAAATAGCAAGGTTGAATTTCTGCGTTAGCAATCCTCTTATGTCTTTACAGATAAGGTTTCTTCTTTTCAAGTGTCCTTGGGATACTTGTAACATTGAATTATTCCTGTTCTCAGCCATGAAGAACATCTCAATTAAAAATGCTTCTCAGACCCCAAACAGAAAGTGTACTGACCCCAATGTCTGACCAAAAAGCTTTAATAAAAAACAACTAATAAAACATTCAGTCATTAGATGTGGCCCTTTGTGAGCTCCTAGCCTCTCCATTCAGACCATCATGGCCTTGAGGACTGGCATTTCGTACTCTGTGCTGTTATAATTTTCACAAGGGGAACAATCTGAAATAATATACCCCAGCAGAGGAGCATATAAATCTGCTGCAGGCAACTTCATGTTAGTTTTTGGAAAGAAAGAAATATAGGGGCTGGCCCCATGGTGTAGTGATCAAGTCTGGTGTGCTTCACTTCAGCAGCCCAGGTTTGTGGCTTCAGATTCTGCACACGGACCTACACCACTTGTCAGCCATGCTGTGGCAGTGACCTACATACAAAATAGAGGAAGATTGGCACAGATGTTAGCTCAGGGCAAATCTTCCTTGGAAAAGAAAGACGTAACAAAAATTATAAAATGAAAGCAATATACCAAATGAGTTTTTAAAAAATAGAATTACGGAGTTAGAAAGGTTCTTAAGCCATCATTCTACCCAACTCTTTCATCTTACAGAGGAGGGAATGAAGACCCAGAGAGGAGAGAGGGTTTGTCACAGTTCACGCAGCAAACAAAATCTGGCCAGTGCCCCAGTCTCCTGGTGGGTCCTCAGTTCTGTGCCTTTCCACTGCTCTAGGAGTTTGTCCTGAAGCAAGAACTGTGGCCTAGGTTGCACATTTGGATCGTGGGCTCTGTTCCAGGTTTTAGTGACTGTGGTGGGCTCATTTGCCTCCCAGAGCAAAGGCTGGCTGCTCCCCGGGGACTCCTTGGCAGCCAGTCTCTGCTCCTCTTATAAGAAGAGCCTGAGCAATGTGGTTGTTATTACCCAAATTACAGGCTTTCCACCTCTGCCAGGTAACCTGTGAAACAACCTCTGACATCATTAAATGCTGAAATCACTGAACTGTAAATGTATGTTGGGGGGTTTCTGGAATGTCCTTATGACCTCTTTTTGTCGAGGCTCATTTTGTTTTTATTTTTCCCCCGGATCTGACTGGCCTCCCTTCTTTCTTTCCTCCATTACAGGCGCCTGGGATGGGTCACACCCTTTGCCTCCTCTCTCTGGATGGCATTTCTAAGTCACACCAGGTGAGCAGTTGCTTTTCCACATCACCGGGCCAAGTTGTATTTTCTCAATTGTTGTCCTGCTGGACCACAGTGGCATACCAGGTCCTATTAACAAAGTGGAGAAAGCAGAGATGTAAAAGTTGCACTGGCTTTTTAAGACTGCCGAACTAACTGCTTCAGGGGGGACCTTGTTTCCAGCCATGAACTTATGAACTGAGGATTTTATGAAATCCAATCCTCATTGTTATTATAGCATAATCCTCTTTCAGTTATCCACCCAATTTCTCTGTAACAGTTTTACTTCTTCCTTCCTTTTCCTGTCAGGGGCTCTGGGCATTGAGGCTTGGGATACCCATCTCCTGAGCCCTTCTTCCTGGGAAGATGCCAGGGGCCAAAGCCAGGTGGACGCCAGCTCAGCCTCTACACTCTCAGTCCCAACTGGGTGTGATCACTGCAGAGCTCCTCTGGGGTGGAGGTAGGAGGATGTCTCTTGAAATAAAGTCCTCTCAACTTCTTAAATCTTAGTTTTGGCACTTTCCTTTTGTGTTGAGAAACAATGAAAAACAAAGGCTATTAGGACAAGAAAGGGTCTTAACAATCACCCACTCCAGACACCCCATTTCAGTTTTCTATTCCTATGTCAAATCACTCCAAAATGTAATGGCTAAGCAACCATGGCCATTTATTTGCTCATGATTCTGTGATGTAGGCAGGGCTTGGTGGAGAGGTCTCTTTTTGCACCAGCTGGGATTTGCTGGGAGCCTTGTGGCCATTCTCTTGCCATGTGGTTGTTCACCATTAAGGAGTCAACTGAGCATCTTCACAGGGTGGCTGCCTTCTAAGAGACAGAAAGCAGAAGCTCTCTGGCCTTCTAAGGCCTGGCCCAGAACTAGCTTCTACCACATTCTTTTGGTCAAAGCAAATCACAGGGCAGCCCAACATTTAGAAGAGAAGAAGTAGACTTCATGTCTTGGTAAGAGGAATGGCATGAGCTTCCAGGAATGGGAGGGATGTTTGGCACCATCTTTGCAGACAATCCACCACAATCCGTGTTTTGCAGAGAGCTCTAATTGGACCCCACAACACTGACTGACCCAGTGAATTGGTGACCTGATTGGGGGCTTCTGAGTTCCAGGAGAAAAGAACTCACTTTTCCTACTTTTGAGGAAAGAATTGAAGTTCTTTCTTCATTTGAAAATATTAGGGGGTGAGAGGGGAGCAGTGATATGAGAATTGGGGTGAGATGGGAAAGGGACGTGTATTTTGTGTTCTACCAGCCATAACTCAGATCTATCAAATAAGTCAAGTTCATGTTTCTATTTGGACTTTGCATGAAACTCCCAGTGCTGCCTTTTACATTTGTTGAGTGACTATTGATTACATCACCTCACTAAGTCTATTTTTGATCTACAAATGTGTTGAGTAAGCACAGGAAAAGTGAAGCACTGAGGCTCTTCTGTCCCATACCAAAAGGCAAAAATATGAACATGATACTTTAACTGGAAAGAGTAGAGTGGAGATAGCAGGGGAAATTCCATGCTAGAACACCCCTGGAGGCACCCAATCCATGAATGCTGTGAAATCTGAGATCACTCAGAGTCATCTTGAGGAGGTGCTAAAGGTCTCTGGCCATTTCCCTTTTCTCTTTGTTCCTTGGAATGAGGTTCAGCAGAAAGTTGATGGAGTTGGTTTGAGAATGATTTTTTTTTTTGTGGTGTGTACTGCATTTTACATACTGTTGCAAGCTGCTTGCTTCTGGTCCTGGAAAGAAAAGGCATTGGAAGATGGCTTAGCTTAGAGTAAGGAGGTGAGGTTGAGGCTCTGACCCTGCTGATGGTTCAAGGCATGGGGTCTCCCTGTTTACCCTGGGGGTGAGGGTCCACCTTAGGCCTGCTTAGCAGTCTTCTTGGGCAGTAGCAATGCAGTTCTGCAGGTGTAATAAGTAGTTCTTCCTGATTAGATAAAACTGAGTTCAGGCCCTATTATACGCGTTACACATGCAATTGATTGCCAGACCTTGAAGTGAATAGCTAGATGGACTCCTTTGGTCTAAATATTGCTAAGTGCAGAACCTTGAGGAATTGTTTAGCTTTAGGCTTTGTAAAGTAAGTAAAAGGATTTATTTAGTTTATGTTAAATATTCAACAAGGGCCTTTTTGATTATTGTTTATCACTTTATTATCTCAACCTTGAGTACATGAGCATCTGCTATGAAACAATACTGGCAAAACTCTTAAGGTGGTATGCCTGCAGTAAAAATGTTTTGTAATGGTTCCTCAGTTGAAAGTTTGGGAAGGTGGTGATGGTGAATAAGACAGATGCAGAAATAATGACTGATGCTGACTTTACTCTGGTGGCTTTACTCTTTGCTTTAGTTTCCTAACAAATTACCATTAACTTAGTGGCTTAAAAGAACACAAATTTATTCTCTTGTCATTCTCAAGTTCAGAAGTCTAAAATGGGTCAGCTGTGTTCCTTTGGAGGCCCTAGAGAAGAATCCACGTCTTTGACTTTTCCAGGTGCTAGACGCTGCCTACATTTCTTGGTTTGTGGCCCCATGTCACTCCACCATCTGCCGCCGTCATCACATCTCCTTCTATGACTCTGGCCCTCTGCCTGTCTCCCACTTACAAGGACCCTTGTGATTGCGTTGGGCCCACCCAGATAATCTGAGGTAATTTTTCCATCTTAACATCCTTGACTTAACGATATCTGTGAAGTGAAGTCCCGTTCGCTATTTTAGAGACATTATTCTGCCGACCACATGATTGATATTTGAAACGTTGATATAGTATTAGTTGCACATGTCTGTAAGTCTGTTCTGCTATGTGTTTCTTTCAGTAGGAAAAATGGTATCAGTATAATGGTGATTTTTAACTCACCATTTTAAGATTTTAAAATGAGGAGGGGCAAGCTTGTTCTCAAGTGTAGAGGAAGCCTTTGCTATATATGAAGACCTTAAGAAAAGAGCTGAAAATCCTGCATAAGGCTTCACTTTAGAGTAAGAAGTGACTCATATGATGGCTTTAAGTACTAGAACACTTTCTTGTTCTAAGTTCTTTGAGGGAAATTGCAAGTGCAAATAAAGAAGCCGTGAATACCTTTCCCCTAGGGTTACAGAGAAGTTAACTGATGAAGAGGGCACTTTGGGTCATATATTTCATTTTGATGAAACTGATCTCTATTAGATGCAAATGCCCTGCAGGACCTGTGTCTCAAAGGCAAAAATTAAAGAAGTTAAATTAAAAATTAAATTAAAAATATTAAAGATGCAGAGTGGAATGACTTTGATGCCAGGAGCAAATAGCAGTGGCAAATTAACTACTCTATGATTTGTATTACTAATTGTTACTATTTTTGTCAGTGCTCTGGTTAAAATTTCATGTTTTGAGTGGTCTGGACTTAACCTTATTTTCCCCAAAGCCTGACTGCTTTTAGTGTGTGGTTTTACAAAATGTGAGGTTTATCAGGAACATATACATGACGTTATAACAGAAATTACTTCACTGGAATTTCGAAGTTGTAGTTAATTCCTCTCACTATAATCGACAGATCCCATCTGAGCAACAACTGCTAATTTTGTTTTTCCTGAAAACCCCCATCAAAGGAAGATCCTTGCCACAAGCAGAATAGGAAAACTTTTGAGAAATTTGGGAAGATTTGGAAAAATTTTGGTGTAGATAACATTTGAGCTAATTGTAAAGACTGAATGGAAATTACTTGGGTAAGGAAAGCTGGGAAGAAGTTTTAGAAAAAGGATCAAACGCTCAGCAAACGTCTGCTGCGTTAGTTCATAAATTTCTTAGGAGCATAAGTTTGATTGTTTACACAAAACCAAGTGTCTTTGATGCTGGCCTTGTTTGTTGTATTCTGTTTAGCATCTTCTTGAAAAGGAGCATCCTGGAGGACGAGAATACTTCTGTTTCCTTGGGGAAATTATGCACCAGGATTCTGACTAGGCCTCTGGTTCCCCGTCCCCACCTGGCTGCCTGGCACTCACCTGCTAGACGATCAGAATTGATGTAGAAAAAGCCACCTTCAACACAAATGATGTAGATCCTTGGGGCTGTGTGCACGAGACAAGCCCTGGCAAAGAATTTAGGCTCTTTCCATTTGTGCAAGAGCAGTTTCCTTTTAAGTTCAGAATTGTTTATTCATGAACTGAGACAGAAAGAGATTGAGAGAGGGAGAGAGAGAGAAACTCAGACTCTGCCCCACAATTCTTGAGATTTCTTTGGGGTGAGGTTAGCAGTCGGGGTGAGGTTTTTTGTGTAGGGGCTCAGCAGATAGGGGCATGGGAAGTGATGCTGGGCACACAGACCCCTGCACCTCAAGGTGGGAGCAGGCACTGACACAGTTCCTCCTGTCTGCCGTAGTTTTGAAAAGAAGAGGTAAGAGTGCAAGAGGAGGTGAACTTTGGCTATGCAGAGAGACAAGTCAGACAATGTGAGTTTTAATTGAAATCATATCCCTAGCATTTTACTTTTCAAAAGTTGTTAGCATGATCGAGGTTGCATTTTCTTGTGACTACTATTATTACTGTCACGCTGACTGCTCTGGGCAGGGGCTGAAGGTTACATGTGGGCTGGGAACGCTGGGCTGCGTGGGAGGGGCTGGCAGATCTAAAGCCCCTGCCTCGGAATGCTCCTCCGGAGCCAGCTTCTGGCCGCCTTGCCTCTGGCTGTGCGCTCACTCTGTTTGGACACCAAATTGTCCTCCCCAGCACGTGGTGGGGAGGCTGTTCGCCTTCTCTTCTCTTCCGTCTCAGGTCTCTTGGATCATCAGTGTCTTTCTCCATTATGGGGAGCTGGATTGAGTTGTGCAGCTTATAGGTCACACAGATGACTCTGCTTTGAGGCCTTCTCTGCCAGAGAGAGGGAATTCTCAGGGCTCTGCAGGGTTCCACTCTGAGAGGGGTTATAGCTTAACAAGGCTCCCCAGCCTTTAATGTGAATCTCCTGGTGATCTTGCTAAAATGCAGGTGCTGATGCAGTGGGTTTAGCATGGGGTTTAAGATTCCGTAGTTTTAACACGCTCCCAGGTGATGTCAATGCTGCTGGTCCATGGGTCACACTTGGATTAGCAAAGACTTAGACTATAGCTGGAAACCAAGTTAGTTGAGGCCTCTAAGCTGTGTATTTTTTTAGAAAGAAAATCCAAGGAGAGTAAACTCAAAGGGGGACTCTATTTGCTGAGTGCCTAGACCATTGGTGCTATGTGGTAGAAAACTGAGAGAGGTGAGAAACATAATGCCACTTCCCACCTTTGGGGAGCTCATGCCAGAGTTGGGAAGACAAGACTCCCACACATGCAGCCATCAATCACATGTCATATTTTATTGCTGCTGAAGTGCTAAACGAGGGGTACGGACTCTAAGTGCTCTGATGTGGAAAGTAGCAGGCTGTCCGAGAGAGTTTGGAAATCTTGGTTCAAAGCGATGTTTGTTCAAAGGCAACGGTGGTTAACTGAAAAGGAGAAGTCTTTTTCCACCTTCATCCCCCGGATGCTTACTACTCTCTTATGTCCTGGTCACTAATGTTTCCAGTGGTTTCTTTATACAGACTAAGTGACCAGGGAGAAGGAAGGATATCCTCACATCCCCTTGGACGTGTGCTTAGCCCAGCGTGGGGCATCATGGGAAATGACCCTTCACCCAGGAATCATTCAGCTATTTCTTGTGGGCCCACTGGGTCTCCACAAGGTCCGGGGTACATAGAAACGAACAGACCAGACACTGTCTCTACCCTTTAAGAACTCAGGCTGGTGAAAATTAAATAACATGGCTGCTCTGGTTGTAGAGAAATTCGATTTTTGTGGAAAACATGGAACTAAGGGATTTCTGTTAATGATTTAACTCTCACCACAGGTAGCAGGAGAATTTCTTCAAAGCTAGTTCAGAAAAAAAATAAGAGAATAATTCACAATCGAGGCTTGTTTTGGGTTGTTCTGAAGGACTCTCAGAGAGAGCTCCCCAAAGTCTGCTTTCATTTCCTTTAGAGATGGCTGCATTGGGAGAAAGGTGTCAGGGTGGTCCTCCATGCATCACTGGTTTTAGACCCAAGTTCAGGATCTTCAGGAAAACCAAGCCTCTTTGGTTTCTGGTTATCTAAATACTTGGAAGCTTAGCAGTGAGGTAGAATGAGTAGGTGGGATGGAATTATTTTCTCCTTTCAGGCATCCTCGTGGCCATGGGGCATCCTGGAGATTATCCCATAAGAAGCCACCTCTGACATGGTCTGAGCACAGGGGATTAGCGCAACTCATCACACTCATTCAATTCTCTTTTAGGCAGAGGATTCTGCCTTAACTGCCCCCGGAAGAAAAATCCTGTTTTGTCATACTTTTCTTGTAAATATTTTATTACTAAAATGACTTGGAATACAATTACCAAGAAGGTCAAAATGTTTAATGGGCTCTGTGGCAGTCTAGCTAAAATGCCTGTCACTTTGTCTCTCTAATGTGCACCGAACATTCCTGCCTGGAGTGAGAACCATGAGTGTTATTTTTCTGGCTTGGATCTTGGCAGGTGTGTAACATGACTCCTGATAGCAGGACAGCAGATTACATTCGGCTATAAAACCATTTCTAAGGCTCTTGGCACCCAAACTGTTATTGCATGTCTGCAGGTGTTTAGTAATTGGATTAATGCAGAGCCGAAGGAATGTCTGCTCCCCGGCTCCGAGAAACACTGAGGAAAGACAAATTCATTTCAGAGAGTGACCTGGAATGCACGATGACAGGCCTGCGCTCACACATGAAGCCAGATCTAAGCCTGCACGTTTAAAATGAACTGCTGTGAGCAATCACCTTCCATAGGAAAGTTTATCCAAAGCTAAATACAATAACAATGGTCTTCTGAGTCAGGCGGGAAGGAGCTTCAGCTAGGGTTTTGATCCTCTTCCAAAAGCAACTCAGACAACTTGAGCTTAAGCCTTCCTATCATGCAGCTCATGAACCCTACAATCCTAGGTGTTTAATAATAATAATAATTTTTAAAAGACCTTGGTAAACAGAAGAGGATGATAAGCCTCCCAGTGGAAGTGCAGAGACCACAATTGTATCCTGGATCATCATGTTCTTGCCAATTAATTCCCACCTTGATTGTAAAGACAGTGTTGGCTGCATCGCAGACCTCCTAAAACATGCTCATAAAACGATGAGCAGTGTTCACACCCCACCGCAACCAAGACCAGTGCATAGAAGAAGTGGTTGCTCTTGGGGTAATTTTGTCATTCTGGCTAATTGAAACTTATGGTATCCTCCGAGAGCAAGAAGCCAAACTCTCAGAGGCTCCCATCTGAGTAGATAAAACCTAATGGTTTGGCCTTACAAACCTAACCTCTTTCTCAGCTTTACAACCCAGAAGGGAGGCGGACCATTTGGAGGGAGTCCAAATAGGAGAAAGATAATGGTGAAAAGGCAAGTTTTGTGAAGAAAGGCAAAAGAACTGGTACCACTTAGTTTAAATCCTAGAGGGGTAACTTGTAGTTCACAAATATTATTACAGTAGGTAGTGAGAACAGAAAGGGGAGGGGACGGACAAGAAGCCGGTCATGGCACACAGAGCATGAGTTTGAAGGGCTGGTATGGCAGAGGAAATGAGAAATCTGAGAAATCTGTGTGTGGAAGAAGGAGCATGGATCAAATGGCTACTCATTCATTTGTTCATTCAACAAAATTCGCTGATCACAGCTAGGTACCAGTCTTGAATCTGTGGGGATTGCAAAGCGACTGAGACACATTTTCAGTTTTTTGAGAGCTGTGGTCTAGGAAGCGCGGGCGTGCAGTCGTCACACTCTGGATTTAGTAACCTGGGTGGCTGTGAGCGTTCCCGGGAGCATTTCAGTGGCTGGGGGTGGGCACAGGGCAGGCGTGTCTGGGTAGGTGTTACACGCCTTTGGAGGACACCAGGCCTTCTTGGCTAGGTTGATGACATTCTAGCTGACACTCCAGCTGATTTTCTAGCTCTCAGTCAGAAAGAAATTAATTGGGGAGGTAGGCTGCAGTTATAATTGCGCGTTTGGTTGTTTGGGGTTGTAGGTGAGTCGAACACAAAAGCTTGGAAAGCAGCTGTGGTCACCTCGACATGAGGGTCTTCCAAGA